CTTTATCTGTGAGTTTTTTGGGTCTGGTGTAAGGGCAATATTATAAATTCTCATTTTAATTTTGATTTGATCCAATATTATGAGTTCTCTTAAGTTGATCCTTAAGAATGGACATGAAAAATGATAGAATATTTACCTATTATGACGATTAATCATTGATGCAAAATCTAGAGAATGATCATGAGTGTTAAATAAAGAACAATTCCAATACTTAGTTCACGCAAACAAAATGCCTTTAATCTCGGTGCCTTCACAAGTCAAATTTGATCAAACAACAAATAATTCAGCACAAGGGTTCTATTTATAGAACAACTTGTGTAGGCTACAAGCTAAATAAGCCCACTAAGCACATTGTACCTTATGGTGTATTGTATTTCAATTAAGTGCATTGTATCTTACGGTGTTTCATATTTTGCTTAAGTACACTGTACCTTACAATGTTCCTTATTTCACTTAATTACACCATACCTTTATAAGGGGGTGTTCCATATTTCACTTAAGTACATTGTACTTTACGATGTTCCATGTGTCTCTAATTAATATTAATGGATTGTAACACTACACAATTTAACAAGCTTCACATATTTATTTTCTCCCATTAATCTGTTCTTATGTGTGTGATCCTGTAAGTTCTCATGACGTTAGCAATTATATCAAATAAAATATTTAATGTAAGAAATATTTAGCAGTGTCTAGCAACACATCACTGCTACCCAAGTCACAAAAAATGTCATGTGATATGATAAAATCTTTTTGTCTTAATATTTATGTGTATAATTATCATTTTATGCTCATGTCTATATTAAACACAAATCATAGACAATGTCACCCTTGTCTAGTTCAATATTGGGCCCTTGAACATTTATCTTGTTACACAAGACATACAAATTTCATATAGGTTACTCATATCCCTCAACATTATTTGTGGAGCACCCATATACCATTTTTATGGTCATCCTATTAAGACAGGTACGAGACTCCATATCTTGAGTCCATAGCGGTTTCAGGTCAAAGGGTACACCAGTATCACTTTGAGAATAATATATGACACTTGCTTAACATTCTATGTAATATTGTCATGATTGGTTAAGCGAATATAAATATTAATTTGAATATTTGTTCCTATGTGAGGACTTGATAACTCTTTATCCATGATCAGTGAGATGTGATCACCAGTCTATCCACATAATATACATAATGCATTAATGTTATCCTACTTCACACTAAATCTCGACTATGGATACTTTAAGAATAATGTCCTTATGTTTAATGACATCTCATGATTAAGTCACACTTAATGTTTCATTAAACGAACTAGCTAATCTAAGGAATTTATTATTTTGAAAAACAAACATAACAATGAAATGTCTTATTATTAATAATAAATAAATCGATAGGAGTATCAAGTTCTAATAAAACTACTTGCCTCTAGGACTTACACCAACACCCCCCTAATAAGAGAAAACAATTAAAGCATCATATCTAACTACAAGAATATCACAACAAATACTCAAAGCCCATGTAAGAAACCTCTAACTCTATTTTTCCAAAAGGGCTAGACTAACCATCCAGAGGTCCCTAACTCCTAACCTCGCCTTTACTCTTTGGGTTACAAGCATTATTCCATTTAATTCAGGAAATCGTATATTCTTCCTTCACCCCTGCCCTAAGAAACCTTCTTTGTAATCTAACAAGCTTCTTCCAAACCTTTACAAGCATCTTCATAAAAGAAAATAAGAGGATAAGAATAACTTTAAGTACATAATTAAGAAGAAACACTTAACCACCTAAACTAACATATTTGTGCTTGCAATAATTAGCCTCTTTGTCAACAAATTGACTAAAGGGTCCTAAGAAGATTCAAGCCTAGGATTAGCCTCTACTGGTAAACCAGGATACTTAAAAGGAAGAGTTTCAATCTCACAATGAAGGAATTCACCTACGTAAATTAGTAAGATATGGTGCATATTAACCTCTATAAGACTACTCTTGAAGAAGTTAACCCGAAACTCTGAAGCCATCTCAAAACCTCTAAAGGTAGTCTTTACACTCCCTAGGAAGATATAATCTGCATATTAAAGATGATATACCACCAAATTGTGTGTTCCCACCCTAAACCTAGAGTAAAGATTGATTTCCTTAGCCATAACTACTAATCCATTAGCCCCTCATCCACAAACGAGAAAAGAAAAAAAAAATCTATAGGACCCCCTTGTTTTGAACCCCTTCAAACGCTAATAATTTGAGTTAGACACTCATTTATCAACACTACAAGATTAACAACGAACACACAAACTTTAATTCAAGACCTCTACTTCTCATTAAACCCAAATACGATAAGCATATAATCCAAAAGCTCTTGAGATAGTCATATGCTTTTCAAAACCAACCTTAAAATAAAAAACACTTTCTTAAATCTCTTTGCCAAATCTATCAACTCTTTAAACACCACTATTTCAACGACCAACATTCTCCTTTTAAGAAAAATGGATTCGTTAGAGGAAATAAGTTTATGCATCACCTATCCAAGTCTAGTTTACAACACCTTAGCCACCCATTTATAGAAAGATCCCAACAAAAAAATCGGCCTAAAGCCATCTAAATCAATGGGGGGTTTAACCTTGGGGATCAAAGTCACAAAATAGGATGCAATACTACGATGTAGAGATGCAATATAGTGGAATTTATCAAACATGATCCCTAAATGTCCTCTAACTGGACTTTTGTTACCTTCACACTAGGACACATGACAATCTAACTCCTGCAAACTAAAGGGAGCCTACAAAGCAAGATTATCATCTTTTGAAAAAGAATGGAGGATAATATCGTCAAGACGGAGTCTATCTACACTTGATCCTTTGAAAATATCAGAGATATGTTTCACAACTCCTTGCCTAATTTCAAACACTCCTTCAATCCAACCTTCAGAGTTAGGACAATATTCTGTATACCTCTACTTTTCAAGGGAGCATGAAAGTCATAAGAATTAGAGTCACCTTCCTTAATCCACTTAACCTAAATTTTTGAAATATTTGATAATCTTTAATTTTTAGCAAGGATCACATATCTACAATCTCTCCAGATCTAGACTCAATCTCCTCATCATATAAGGTCCTAAGATAATCTAGAGAAACCAAATTACTCAGCACCTCTTATAAATTTAATAATTAAAAAAAAATACTTATATTTAATATATATATATATATATATATATATATATATATATATATATATATATATATATATATATATATATATATATATATATATATATATATATATATATATATATATATATATATATATATATATATATATATATATATATATATATATATATATATATATATATATATATATATATATATATATATATATATATATATATATATATATATATATATATATTGGATTGGATAAGGATATTACAATTCTCATTAAGAAGACATTATTTATTACAAAAAACGACACATGTTAAGAACCTTTATATTGTTACTCAACAAGTGCCTAAGTTCAACATAATATAAAGTTAAAGCAATCACAAGAATAGAAATCATTATCAGAAAGGGAAATACATATACTATTACTTAAACACAAGGTGAGGGACAAAGGTTAATTTTGAGAAGAGTCCCCCATGCATGCAGTCGTGTGAATGGGAAATTAAACTTGATCAACCTCATTTTTTTAAAAGAAAAGAAAAAACCAACTGATTGATAATTAATTATAGACTTATTAATTCCATTTTATACGTATCAATAGAATCCGTTAGACTTTTGAGTAGTACTGTCCCCAACCCCATGGTCCAACTTTGCTTGCTTGCTACCATCCAACTTTAACCCAAAGTGAATGTGAGGAAAATGTGCCCACTGCATATATATTCATATTAAACAAGACAATCGGTTAGCTGGAAAAACAGTGGTACCAAAGGATACCTAGTACAATCTAACAATTGTAATTCTAACTATATATAGATTGAACTGGAATACGATATTATATATGAAAGTGTATTGAAAAGATAATTAATCTATAATCTTTACTTTGTCGATAGTCATTTACTCGCGCACTTAGAGTTAATATTTTGAACTCAGTAGAGTCGTTTTAAATTTTTGGAGGCCTTATGTAAGTTAGTTTCAGACCTTATTCATCAAAGACATTTTCAGTCTTTTGCAGCCATGGCTTGAAAATTTGTTCAGTTTTGTCAACAAAAAATCTCTCAGCTTTATATGCAAGTTTGCATTTGTCACTATAATTGCTTACAATTATAAGAAGCATTAGAAGGATGTTATTATTTTCCCTTTATATACCCCATGTTCACATATTACTAGGTGCTAATTGGTTTGTTTTGTAAAGTTTTCTACAAATATTGTGTAAACGACAAAGTTCTCCCTTTGTGTAATCCACACATGTGATGGAAAAAATGGACATAGAATTTTCATGCAATCATGTGACACATTGCATATATATGCTAGAAAAGGAAACAACGTTAGGAAATAAGTTTGAGCTTACGTTTTTGGCTGCTGTGCTAAAAGCTTCCCTGTGACTGATATCTGGATTACTAGCCTTAATTCTTTGTATTTCCTCCCTGGAACCAAAAATATATATACATGAATTAGTCGCATATATGTATCATGTAGTACTTTCTCTAGTGTTACATATATGACTAAAAAACAAAAAGAATCATGATCCAATAGGTTTATTTAATGTTTAACTTTTGAATTTGTTTTCTAAATATAACACTTGTTTTAAATATTTTCATACCTCCTCATTTGATCAATAAATACATTCCTTTTTATCAAAGTAGAAAGTGAATTAATATATCTTAAAATTTGTGACTATTTTGTATGATTAGAGGGGGAAAACTCCAATATTTTCTAGTACATGGGACCAGAAGTTATATTTATAGTATCTATAAGCACTAGCTAGGTTGAAACTAGTTATACATTTTTTTCCCTTCAAATATGTTATCTACTTCCAATTGAAACTAGGTTTAATATCAATATGTCAACTATTCTACATGTACTACTATTGCAAGTTGTTGATACCGTCTCTTTAATATTGAAACAATTAATAGTTTCATCATCGTTTTTAATCTATTAAATTGAAAATAAAATAAATGTTATAATCAGTAAGTATATTATAATCATGTCACTGTAATCTGTTATAATCAGTAAGCCTTCAACCGTTACCAAATCAATCCAATAAAAAGAGTAAGAAGTTCATGAATGCATGCGAAACAAAGTTATATTTTGTCACGAAAATTTGACAATAAATCATTAAATATTTGAGATTATTAGTTTGACGTGTAAGTGAGTTTGTGTCTATACTCCAAGTTTTGGAGTTCCTCTAGTTGATTGGGAGCGAAAGGTTTGATAAGCCCAAAATTTTAAGATAGATTGGTTGCTTGGTTAGCTTTCTTTGATTGTCTTTCAACTTGTATTTTAAGAAGTTGTATAGATTGGTTTTTTTGGATGATTGAAGTTGCTTTTGATTTTTGATTTTATGTTTTTATTTCCGGCTTATGTTTTTAGTCAATTTTATTTGTTTTTTGAACACATCTTATACTTCTGTTGTATCTTTAACTTTTATCTATTTTTTCTTTATATTTTAATATATTGATTTGTTTTTCTATTAAAAAAATAAATAATAAAAAATAAAAAGTAAAAAATTAATTACATAAAAATTAGTGAATTACAAGTGAATATTTTTAATTGGAGATAAATCATTGAAGTATTCAATATTTTTAAGGGTACAGAAGTCTTCACAATTAAAAAAATATTTTCAAGTATTTAATAATTTAGAGACTTATTTTTTAAATAAACAATGCTATTTTATGTTTGTTTATCATAATAAAAATTCCTTCTTATAAAAAATAAAATACTTATTAAAGATAATTGTATAAAAAAGTTATTCAAAATAGTTTTTCAATTTTTTTTCCAGAGTGTTGTGTAATATAAACCCCCAAATATCTAAAGATAAAGAATGTAATATTGTATTGATTTTATAAAAAAATTGAAACGTGTTACCTTTAATTCCATAATTTAGATGTCCATATTAAATGTACTCTTTTTTTCTTCATATTTTAATTTGACTTACAAGATTTAACAAATAGGCGTAGACATTAAAAGTGATTATTTAATTTAAAAAATTGATTTTTTCGAGTCTTAGTATAAGGTTCTAGTAATTTTTTTTCTTTTTTGCTAAATTAGGATAAGAGTATATAACATATGCTTACAGTAATATGATACAAAATTTAAACTTTTAATATTCTGAAAATTCATATCACAAGGATTTAAATTTGTATATAATTATTTTTTGTTTATAATTAAATGACTTTTTATATATTCATAAAATTAATATTTTTTTATATTATATTAAATAATTTTCTTGAATCATGAATAACCTCACATCAACTGTGATTCAACTAGTTTTTATTAGAGCATTAAGATCAAACTTTATTAAACTATATAAATTAGTTTGAAGATGAGATATGCCATGCTATTAATCATGGAATTGGAAATGGAAAATGTTACTTACTTAATGAACCGATTATAAGCAGAAGGTACACGTTGTCTCTTCTCAGGAGCTGTGTTAACAATAAGATTTGGAATTATTTTTAAAATAAAAAGTACAGAATTAATGTAAATATAAACTCAATAAATAAACAATTCAAATGTACAATATTAACAATAAATATGATTTACTTTAAGGACCAAAATCAAGTAGGGCTAGAATATTAAACAGCAGGCCCATTAGTTGGGCAGATTACTGGAACTGTAGGGCAAATTGATTCCACTAAAATGGTATTGAAGTACCACTACCAATATGAATCATCATGAGCTGTTATAATGAGTGAGATGAAAAATCTTACTTGAAATAGTAATGTGTTGTTATAAGTAAGCAAGTACTATATATTTTTTAAATTCCTCAACACATGTCAATTAATTATCATTTGAGTGGCTATAATAAACACTTTTTTATAAACTAATTTGCACATGTATATTGGTATACTTCTAGGGCACAACATGATTGCAATAAATTAAGAATGGGTTAATTTTATGATGTAATGTCACCATCTAGTTGGGGACATTAAATCATGATGTGAAGATAATAGACCAATTTTGGATAGCTTTGTACTCAAAGAAAGTGGATACACAAAGAGATGAACGCCCACTCTTGTGAAAACAAACTGAGTTTTTTAAGGACAAGTGGCCTCAATCATGACCTTGTTCTGCTGGCTAACATTCATTAACTTCTGCCAGTTGTGGTGTAACTAGTCTGAATTTCTTTGTCCTTCAACCCTCTAAAGAACTAGGCTGGACTTTTAACGAAAATTATTCAGTCTGTGGCCTAACTTGCTATATAGTACTCAATTTCTGTATCATAGAGTGACTCAGCACACTTCCATTCAATTTTGAGGACTTATTATTTTCATAGAATTTTGAATTAAGTTAGTTAGAGATAGAGAATGATATTTCAATGAGTAAAAAATGTTTTTAACACTAGCAACAAAATTAAAGACAAATAGTATAGTACATAATTTTTCATCTCTAAAACCTGGAGACAAAAACTGAAAATGGTCTTCAATTTTGTGTCTCTAATTAAGTTCTGGAGTTGAAAACAAAAAGAGTAAAGAAAATTATGAGGAAAGTACTCACGGCGAATGGGAGGAGTCCTAGGTTGCTCATGAGGCTGAAATGCTTTGCATTTTGAAGAAGAAGATGATGATGATCCTACAACTTCCTTCCTGCTAATTGGTTCTTGGTGACAGCTTACAAGCTGCTGTTTCTGTAACTCAGATTAAAAGAGAGAATAAACACACATGCACCAACACATATATAGTCTAATGCTGTTCCTTTTTGTAAAAGTAAATATTATTTTTTATTAGCAACTCAAACATAATTTAGGACTTGTATACAACTGTTTTAGTGTCCTAACTCAAACTACTGAGCAACTCTTCTGGGGGCAAATATCGACAGAAGAAGAAAAAAAAGCTGAAACTAGAAGATAAAAAAGAAGCAGAAAATGAAACACCTGAGGGTCTTGTTGAGGTGGAAAAGATTGAAGTGATGCTCCCATGTTAACCGAAAGCAAATTGGCACAATGCCCACATCTAACTGTCACTATAGTCAGCAAGCTACTGCATGGAACACTAACCTGCAATCATATATACCCATTTTGGAATAATGCAAATCAAACCATTTTTATTATTTATCATAAACTAAAATCCGTTGAATAATAAACCTATAACCCAAGAATCTGTCATAATTAATACCAGGAACAGAAAGAAAGCTACAAGGCTATATAGTCATATCTCTATCCTCTAAATTGGGAATCTCAATGCTTTAAATTCATAGTTTAGTTAGGACCATCATCCATCAGTTTCATCTCATAACATATACAAATATTTGTTTAAAGAATTTATAAAAACTATCACATTCCAAAACCCTTAAAGCACCATCATTGAAAGCTATGGCAACTAATAAGAGTTGATGAAAAATTGAAAATATAAACACTTGATAGGTTTGTTTTAAAGAGAAAAACAGAAGAAGACAAATATGGTTGAAACTTGAGAGAGAGAGAGAGAGAGAGTGTTTGTATGTGTACAGTACATGTATAGGAAGAAGTGTGGAAGCATAGAATAGGATCTGACAAATTAAATTGGTTAGATTAAAAAGTTAGCACTCTCACAATGGTGCGCATCACTTTTCATATATCTGACACTGCAAGGTAAGTATGATAAAAGATAGAAATTCTGAAGAGCTCATATTAAGGAGGAAAGAGAGTAATGAAAAGGACATGACTTGAACAGAAAATATCATAAAGCGATAGACAGATCAAAGATTTGAAGAGCTAGCTATGAATAAAGAAAAACTGATTGATTCATCATAATCATGAATCAAACAAGATTAATTTCAGCAGAGAAAGAAAGACACTGCTTTTCTTAAAAGGAGTAATTTCAGCAGAGATGAAAAAAGAGAGAAAAATTTAAAAATAAAGAGATTTTTTCTGGTGTTTGGAATGGATTTGTCTTGACTTGAATAATAACAGATCTTCACAACATGTCTGAAATTGTGAAAAGAAATTGATCATAAAAAATGACCATTCACTGCAAAAATCATAGATGAACAGAATACCAACCAACTTTGACAGACATCACGTATCAGAGAAAGGGTTTTCTTTTTCAGATTTCATAAATAAATTTAAATGTTAATTTTAGCATATGAGATCACATGATACTATATATTATTCTGAAAAATCAAATAAATATGTATAAGAAGGGAAAGGGAATCATATATATTCCAATGAACCCTAATATATCTGCTAACCCTATACCTATCTACTCATAGCCCTCAATTTATGCATTTTTTTTTCCAACAAACGCCTTGGAATTGCTTCATTCAACTTTATATATATTACAATTTCTTTATTACTCATCAAATTAGCTGAAATTATCAGCAATAAAAGTGTTTTTCCTCATAAAATATAGTTAATTTCATGAAATTCAGTTCAGCTATTTCATTTTAATTTATATTTCTTTTATGATCTTGTTTATGGTAAAAAAGATAAAGTTAAGACAAATTAGACGATGAAAAGACGTAAGAAGGTTAGAAAACCCAAGAGAATTCAGAGTTGTACCGCAAGAGTAGTGTTGCAGAAGTTGCAGTGAACATAACAAACACGTTCATTTGCCATCACATCCATTGACATTTTTTTTGTGTGCTTAGTGTAGATTTATAAGCAGATAGATCAGAGGGGAAAGAAATTGTTCACTGAAATAAATTGAAGAAGCTAGATCAAGGATTTATAGAATAGCAAGAAGAATATTTATTATTAAGACAAAGAATCATAAATGTTGTTAAATTTAAAATAAATAAATAAATTGATAATATTTTTTAATAAAAAGATAAAGATAGAGATAGAAAGAGAGAGAGGGTTTGTACAAATGAAAATGTGAATGGTTAGGATGGGACTAGACTGGTCGGGAGAGTGAAATCAAGATTATAAGTGGGTTATGAAAAGATTGATTATAGGAAAATCGATAGAAATGTGCGCGTGAGGAAGATGAGAGTGGGGGTGCATTGGGAAGGGATTGGGGTTGTTATGATTGGGAAAATGAGTGGGTGGGAGAGACCCATCTCTCACTCTAACGTTACTGGATTTCTGTAGCGGACGAGGGGGGCGAGATTTTAATGCATAGAATGTTTAGGGATCAGAGGTTTTTAGAGATTAATTAATTATACTATCTATCTACTACTCTACACTACTACTATATGTGTAAGACTAGATAATTGAGTTTTTTTAAATTTTAAATTCAACTATATGTATATGTAGCGGTGTTAATTTTTTATAATAAAAACTTAGTTGTTTAATATCAACATCTATGGTTTAAGTGATTAGTCTATACTCCACTAGTAGAAAATACTCGATTCATTAAAAAAAAAAGAAGTATATTATTCATTTACATTTTTTTTGTTACAATTATTCATTCATTTACTACATCTTGGCGGCATGGATACAGGATTTTTTTTCATAGTAAATAAAGCTGTCATAAAAATAATTACTCATAATTATTGTGCTTTGAAAGATAGACAATTAATTTGTTCGCTAGCTTTCTTCTTTTCAAAGGATTTAAGACCTTTTTCAAGTCTTGTCTGACCCTAAATATGGGCTACGCAATCCATGATCAAGTTCAAGAAATTCTAAGACTTTGAGTACTAAATCAAGCTGTCTAAATCATGTCATTCTAAAGCTCTAAATGCTAATTACGTAGTAAGTCAACAAAGTGTAGTAATAAGGATTCTTATTATTTTTTTATTATTTCTGACGTGGAAAGGGAAGGAAAATAAATGATAAAGATGGGAAGTTAGGTTTTGTCCATTTATGTGTCTCTGTGTTATCTATTGCGGTGTACTATTTGCGAAGTGAATAGGGGTGTTCGCGGTTCGGTTTGGATCGGTTTTAAGATAAAAAATCATTTGATCCAAAGATAAATTTATTTGCGGTTCGGTTCTGTTTTGGATGATATATTAAAAAAATTCAATCTGATCCGATCCAATTTTATGCGGTTTAATTTGGGTCGGTTTTTGGATATCCAAATTACACATTATATTTTTATTAATATTATAAAACTACTAATAAATCATAGATTTGATATAATATATAACATATAGTATATTAAAAGTTAATATTACAAAATGAGAGTGGTTGATTATGATTGAAATAATAAAAATAAATAAATTATACCAAGCTAATAACTATTATTAAAAAAATTATTATCATCTAATAATAATTTCACATAGCATATCATGCTAATAAAAAGTAAATAAGTATAAAAATATATGTATGCAGTTTGGTTTGGTTTGGATCGGTTTTGAATAATTAATCCGAAATCCGATCCGAACTTATCGATTTTCACAAAATAACATCCAAACATATCCAATAAATTTTGGTTTTTTGCGGTTTTCGGTTTTTTGGATCGGTTTTTGATTTTTTTTTAGATTGGTTTGGATTTGAACACCCCTAGAAGTGAATAGACATCTTCCGATACACATTTCATGTCCTTACCTTATAAACGTCTTACACGTGGGAGTTATCGTATCATTTAGGGTTTATCTTTTTTGGCTTTTTCATTTCACTTGTTTCAACTACAAATAATTGTAAACATAATGAATTAATGGAATCCTAGCTTTTATTTTTCAAAAATATTACATTCAAAAATAATATTTTTTAAAATATGGCACTTTTAAAAAAAAATTAATCTCGTATGTTAAGATGAACGGAAATTTTTTTTATAAATGTACAAAATTAACTAAGAGTATTAGAAATTGAACATATTTGATCATAAGAGATTGTCAAAGCCCACAAGCTTCAAGTCGAGCAACAGTTAAATGTGAAGTAGCAGAATATCTGCAAGACACTCCGGTGTCAAAGTGAAGTTCAGAGCTAATGCAAGTGAGTATGAGAATACGAATGAGTGAATGACCTCTCAAGTGAGAGAGTATTTATAGTCCCCAGCGCTGGACCAAGATCCCCATTGCTAGGCTGAACAAGCAGGTCCAAAAATAAAAAATGTCAAGTCCTATGTACGTCGTGGGAGCCAGCACGTGGTCTCCAACCTGGATAGATTCCTTTGAACTATCAGGAGAATTTGGATGCGGACTTTTCGAGGTCAAGAGGACTCTGTGATATTCGGGGGTGTTAAGTGTTAGTCCTACGAAGAGGATGCTCAGAGGATTTGTCTTGACCGACGAGAAGTGTGGACGGTATTCGTGAGGAACTTTCAAACATGATTGGTTCTGCTCGTCATTCATGAATTATTCCTGTAGGCTAAAACCAAGTCGATAAGAAGAGTGGAGTTGCTGCCCGACATGGTCGAGGACAGACTCTTCATGCTGGCCTTCTCATGTAACGTAGTTGAATTGGACCTTATATGATGTTTGGGCCAAGTGCAGGCCTAGTCCAGAACAAAAATGTTAAGAAAACACCAATCCATCTCTGAATACAAATTAAAACGAAAAACAAAAAAAAAAACTACCAAACTAACATTCATAAGGGATAAAACTGACCCAATAATTTATGAGTTCTATTCTAAATTCTTAGACTAAAGCGAACCTCCGGAGAGAGTAAATTGCAAAAAGGTGGACAGGAACACCTACACAAAACAAAATAAAAAGGAGGGTAGCTAGACAACCAACACACCCCTAGCTGTCTAACCACTAAAGTAGAGTTTTACTCCTAATAACTAAAGAAATGGAAAAATCTGAAGCATGAGCATGAACCCACTTCTAAGTTAAACTAATAATAATATATATCTAGTAATTAATTGTCAAGCTTTCCCAATCAAAAATAACTTTGTTCCGCATTTTTCGAATAATTCAGACCACAAAATGTTAGATCGAGGCCAAAATCCTAGAACAACTCAAAAACCCTTATAATCGAGTTTGGTAGAGGCCTCGAGCACCCAACTCACTTCAATTGTATACTAGATAGAAGAAGCTGAAGGTACATGAAACATAAGAAAGATGAGTTTGAATTGGGTTTCTAGTTTTAAAATATTTTCTTTCCAAACAAACAAAGATAAAACAAGAACAAAAATAAATGAATACAATTATTTTTATCCTGGTTCATTGTTAACAAAGTTAATCCAGTCCACCCGCCAGGTTAATTTTGCATTTATCAACAAGGACTTAATCCATTATAATCAAACTGATTATAAACCACAAAGACTACTCGTCAATGTCTTCTTGAGAAATTCTTACTATATCCTAGTTTCTCAAGAAACAAGCAACTCAACAAATGAAATACAAAAAGGTGTGTTTACAAGATGCTTCTAAGAAAGCAGATTTACACAAGTTAAAATATAATGATAAACACAAAAGTGTTTTTAGCAAGGTAATGAACAAAAATTCCTTTCTATACAACACTTTACAAAAGAAAAAATGAATTTGAGAATTTTGCACAGAGATTCTTTTCAATAGTGAAAAGTTATTTCTTCATTCTTATAACTCTTCCTTAAATATCCAAAGAAAGATTTGTTAAAGGATAGAAGGGGAATTCCAAATTCCATCTGTATTCTTGTATAACGGTCAGTGTGACTGACAGACAACATTGTACCATATAAATGTACTTGCGCCACAAAATCAGTATAGTGGAAGGAATATTTGATCTCGTGTCATGTACTATTTACTCACGTAAAACTTTTTAATCTTATATTTTAATCTTCAGAGGCTTCAGAAAGTGTGTTGGTGAAGCATGTTTAGAAGGATCAAAACACAACGAAAGTCTTCAGAACCTTGTCTTCTAAGTCTTCAGAACTTGTTCAGTACAACCTTATCTTCGAAATCTTCAGAACTTGTTCTTCATAACCTCAGAACTTGAGAGTGCAAAATCTTCAAAATCTTGTCTTCAGAGTCTTCATAACTTATTCAACACAACATTTTCTTCAGAGTCTTTAGAAATTGTTCTTCAGAACCTTAAAGCTTAAGAAGTTCTCATAAGCTTTAACATCAAAGTCACAGCTAAAAGCTCTAGACTAACTTTCATCAGAACAACTTTTTAGAAGCATATCTGAACTTGACAATCTCTTGTAACACATACTTTGTATCTCTCCAGAGGCAGGTTGATTCAAGAAACTGATGATGTCACCCGCCATTTATCATAGTCAAAACCTGTTAGCAAAAGCTACACACTAGACAAAACCATTAGGGTACAAAATTATTCTCTAACAATCTATGTATTGTTATCATCAAAACTAAAGATCATATGCAGAACCAAATCTTGTTCTTACATAAGCAACCTCACACAAAACAAAAACATGGCCAACCAACTTCACTTGACCAACACACATAGCACACTCCCTAGAACTAGACCCCGACACAATTTGGTGCCTAAAAAAATAATGCCTAGTCGGCATTCCTATTTTGAATATGCTTCTAAGAGAACAACACCTTTTAGATGACGCCCAATGTAACACATGAAGCCGAAGAAGGCGAAGGGTGGATGTAACACATGAGGCCAAAGAGGGCGGAGAGTGGTCATTAGTTCCGAATTCACATCAAAATGAGAGAGATTATGAGGATGTGTAGGTGTGAGACTGCATGGTTGAAGGAAGACTTATAAGAATTGATTGATACTAATACCAATAAGATGCATCTTTTTTTGGTAGTCTAATAAATAATAATTCCATAGTTAAGGAGGTTTGACTTGGA